CTGCTCTCATGAAAATAACTACAATGAAAACCACACACAAGCATCAAGACTCTAAAAGAGAAAATTCCATAACTCTCTTCTTTGAAATTTTAGTCTTGTAAATTGTCATCTCCATGGGGGGCCAGTTCTTTATAAGGGCTGGGGAAGACACTGGTCGACCAGTCACTATGACGTGCACTGACCACCAGGGGGAAGACACTCCCTGGTGGTCAGTGAACTCCCACATTCAACCTCCCATGGCCCCTGCCCCCAGCCAGCCAACCTCCCATGACCTAGCCCCCTGGCTGGCTGACCCTCTGATCAAACCTGAATTGGGGGCTGGTTGGTCAACTTCCATTGACCCCTCCTCCTGGCTGGCCAAACTCTTGCAGCCCCTCCCCCAAGCCAGCCAACCTCCTGTGGCCCTTCCCCCTTGCTGGCCAACCTCCCGTGGCCTCTCCACCCTCCCCACCAGCCAACCTTCTGTGGCCCCTCCCTCCAGCTGGCCAACCTCCCATAGCCCCTCACCCTGGCCGGGCCCCCAATAGGCCGCAATAACCAGCCACACCAAGGGATCACACCGGTGCAAGAATTCCTGCACTAGGCCTCTAGTTTCTATTATAATGAAATGTGCTCAACATGAATAATAAACACCACCACCTTTATTTAGTACAGTTTTAAGCAGTTTCATAAATGAACCTACAGTGGGGCCTTGACTTACGAGTGTCCCAACTAACGAGTTTTTCAAGATAGGAGCTGTCTCTCGGCCGTTTTTTGCTTTGAGTTGCGAGCTAAAATTTGGGTTATGAGCCAGCTTCAGATACCCCACCGCTAGTTGGCACAGTGAACGTCACAGTGAACGCCACAACATCAGCCCAGCATCACGTGTCTCACTCGTTCACTTTTTGATTTGACATATGAGTAATTTGAGTTATGAGCTCCGTCACGGAACGAATTAAACTCGTAAGTCAAGGCCCCACTGTATTTAATCCTTGCAATGTCCTTATAAAGTAAGGAAACTGAGGCCGAGATATAGTAAGTTACTTACACAGGGTCACAATGAAGAGGGTGATAATGAATGGAAGGATAGAGGAGACTGCCTATAGGAGTTGATGGAAGGAGAAAAGCAAGAGGGATTTAAAAGTTGATTCCTTCTGGATTTTTCCTTTATATTCTGTGTTCTAGATCAGCACTTCCTCAAGACTTGCTGTATAGCTGTGAATGTCATTAAGCCATACAGCAGCTATCTATACCTCCCCTCTCTGCAGACAACCCACCCCCCGCCCCAGGGAAGATCTTATATCTCTGGGACTTCACAGAAACAAATGTTGCCATTAAGACTGGTTTCTATGTATGAACTTAGAATCCCATACCGTTCTCCATATATAGTACATCTCAACTCTCCTCAAAAGCCAGTGACACCTAACCCTTTACATTTCATGTGTGTAATGCAAAAGTAACATAGTCCAAAGAATCTCTGATCCCTATTCTCACACTTCTAGAACAAAATGTTCTTGATTAAAGGCATTTATTTTTACTTTACCTTGAAGTTGTCCTGGTGGGAACATCAGGTATTCATCTGGGGGAATATATCGTAAAACAACTGTCAGCTCTCCTTTGTATTGAAGGCCAATATCAGTAGATAATTCCATCTGGTCAAGAGAAGGCATATAAAAAGAAAAAGTGAAAATGCTTGTTTTGTTATTTTGTAGCTCATGTTTGTACAACATTTACTTGGTGATTTAAATGTGAGAATCCATTCCCATTCAACTATGTTATCACTTACTGGTTTAAGAAATGTCTTATGTATGAGAAAAGAGAGGCTTGAAACTCTAAGAAGGCATTTACATATAACTTTTAACATTAAATTAAAAAGAATTTGAGAGGAGATGTGTAACACACATTTGGTCAGTTAATAGATACTGAGTGCCTGTGATGCATTGAGGACTGGACCATCACTGAACATTCATATAGTTTGGGGTATGAGGCAGGGATAAAGATGTCACTGAAGATAGCCTCATAAGGTACTTCTTCCTGTCTGTCCTAGATGTCCTAAGGCTTTCATAAGTGACTAAGAAGGGGAAAGTAAGCAGTAATGCTTGATTCACATTGGGCTACCAGCCACCAATTATAATTCACATCACTAAAATTCAATGTGGAAAAACTAATTCACTAAAACATTGCTGGTGGAAATGTAAAATGGTGTAGTCAATCTGGAAAATAGTTTGGCAGTTTCTTAAAAGACTAAATATGTAACTGCCATACATCCTAGCAATTGTACTTGTGGGCATTTATATTAGAGAAATAAAAGATTATATACACATAAAAACCAGTCCACAAATATTTGTATCATCTTTATTTATAACTAGTAGCCCGGTGCATGATATTCGTGAACATTAAAAGGGAATTAATTAGCGGAAATATATTAATATTTCTGTTTGCCCTTTCTCTATAATAGAAGTGTGAGAGATGAAAGGAAATTGGTAAAATGTATATGAAAATAATATATATTTTTATTAATAAATAAGCAGTAGCAAAAGGATATAACAGAGCCATAATATAAAAAAGACAAACATGTGATATAAAAACAACAGTGATGCAAACAATGACTGATAAAGTGATTAAACTGATTCTAATATCTCCCTGTACACCACATTAAGAGTGAAAACACTTCCAGAGTGCTTGACTAATTTCCCTTGTGATGAAGTATTTAGAACTTTAACTGTAACGTCACATGCTCCTCAAACTCGAGAGAAAGCAACATAACTGACTACGTGCAAAAACAGGTTCAGGTAGGAATATGCCTACTCTGTCTAGAGTTTGTCCTTGTGATTTATTAATAGTCATCACAAATGCTGGCATCATGGGAAACTCGTTGAGTGCTCATTTTTTGAACAAAGAATTGTACATTTAGATATAGTTTTAATATTATCTATAGATATAGTATTTCCAAAGGTAGCTTCAATAATAGATCCATTACAAATCATTTCAAAGGGGATTTCAATAATATCCATTCCTAAATGAAAACTGCTATTAAGTTTGCCATCTCCAAGTTCTACTAACCATTCACTATAAGCAGATCCTCTGATCTCATATTTATTGTAAGAGACAACTTTTTGAAACATCCCCAAACATTGCAGTACTTTAAACCCATTTGTACTATGGCTGATCACATAGCATGCGGTACAATACTGAGACATTGTCGAAAATCTCCTCCAGGAAGGAAAACTTTCCCACCAAATACAACATTCAAATTTCTCTTAGTAATCTGTCTATGGTGTTTATAGCATGACTGGATGCATTGGTGCATTCATCAATAATGAGAAGTTGGGCCTTTTTAATAGTTTTAGCAAGTTCACTGTTTATGTTGAGTCTAGAAATTGAAGTTTCATTTAGTGGAATGGGTAATTTATATTGGGAATGAAAGGTGCTTCCATCAAGAAGTAAATTTGCAGCAATTCCTGTAGATGCTGTGGGTAAAACAGTACTACCACGACCTCTAATATAATGTATTAAAACTTTATAAAGGTACGCATCCATGCTCTGTGGGCCGGTTCCTGCCTTAAACCTCGCCCTTACCAGAAAAACTCAGGGAGGGCGCAGCTGTGGCTAAGAGGACCCAGGACTTAGTGCATCCACACTCTGAGGGCAGGTTCCTGCCTGAAACCTCGCCGCCCTCATGGGAAACAGCTCAGGGAGGGTGCAGCTGTTTCCAAGACAACCCCTGCAGGACTGACTTCCTTCCATTTGGTCGATCCTCAGTCATGCTGTTACACCCAGGGTTTTTATATAAATAGATAGTAACCCCCTGGAAACTACTTAGGTGTCCCTCAAGAAGTGGATGATTAAATTAACTGTGATATATCCATACCATAGAATACTACTCAGCAGTAAAAAGGAATCACTATCAATATACACAACAACTTAGATCTCTAGAAAAGTATTCTGAGTTACAAAAAGACAGTCTCAAAAGATACACACTATACAATTCCATTTATATGACATTCTTAAAATGATAAAATAATAGGTATGGAGAACAGATTAGTGGTTGCTAGAAGTTAGGGGTGGGCATGGCAGGAGGGAAGTGGGTGTCATTATAAAAGAACATGAGGGATTTTGTGATGATGGAACTGTTCTGTAACTTGGCTGTGTGGTAGATACACATGTTTACATGTGGTAAACTGGCATAGAAATAAATATATAAGCACACACACACAAATGAAAATTGAGGAAATCTGAATAAAATTGATAGGTTATATCAATGTCAGTATCTTGACTGTGATGTTGAGGGAAACTGGGTAATGGCTATATAAGATCTCTCTGTATTACTTATTATAACTTTATGTTGAACTATAATCATCCTAAAATCAAAAGTTTAAATTAAAAAAAAATGCAAATCAAAAACATATGTTCTGTAAGCCTCCCTTTTGCCACTGAGTCAACTGAACTTTAATTCTTCATAATCAGGGTAAGAAAAGTAATGTACTTTCTAAGAATCTTCATTAAGAAATCGGACTCCTTAGTACTGAGCCAGGAATGTGAGAACTACTCTCTTCTGAGAGAAGACAGACTGAAAAAATTCAGAAACCTAAAAATTCACAGCAAAGCCAGAAGCTGTTCAAGCCTCAGGAAAAAAAAAGAAAGAAAGACCAAAAGGAATCCTTGTCTGACTGTCTTTCCTTTTTA